GGATCTGTTCCTTCTGGGAGAGTGTGTCCTCACTCAGAACCAGAAGACTTTTTACCTCTCTGGAAGGTAGACAGACCTCAGCAAGCATCTCAATCTTGTATGCAGTTTCAGTCTATGATTCCAATTTATTACCAACAACAGGCAGGCATTCAGAAGAGTCACATCATTTTCTGCAAGAAAAATAATTTTGGATTATTATGTTGTGGTTCTATAATTAACATGATCTGTGGATTAAGTTCTTGTAAGTCAGAATAAGATTATCTTGTTTAGTAACTTGTTCCTACATTGGTCTAGAAATGCTATTATATAGGTATAAAAATATTATTTTTGCCTCATAATTCCTTAGCAAAATTTAGTTAGGTTGCAACCAGGTTTAAATGCATAGCTGATAGGACTTAATATCTTTTGACAAATCTGTTCTTTGTTGATGTGTTTAATTTCCTTTAAAGCTAACCCAAATGCTCATTACTTTATCTTGTAGCAGCAAAATCTAACAATTTGTACATTATTAAATCTTCTTTAGCAAAACAAATAAATTAATAAATAAATAATTCATCTTACTGAACATCAAAACATTTATAGAGAAAAGGTTTAAATAAATTTTCATGTTGTTGGAAATGCAGTAAGATTAATGGTTCTTTTAATCATACGTTTGCACTGCATCCTATAATTGTTCTTTCTGGGAATGACACTGCTATACATATTAACTTTGTGACAAGATTTAATATGCTTAAATATTCTTCTGAATTATATTTTTGATCGCGTGGTAATTAACAACAGGACAAAAAAGAGGATTTTCCATGCCCTACTTATAACTAAGAAAACTGGTTCATGAGCTTCATATATATATATATATATATATTCTCAGCTAGGCACTAGTCTGCAGGGTTGATGGTTTAGCAAGTTATGAAAGAATTATTTATCAACATAGATGTCAACTCGTAAAGCATTCCTGGTTTGCTCTCGAGTTGCCATAAGAAGGAGATCTGATGGAGCAGTTCGGTTGCTATGACCAGAAGCACATTCCACGTATATCTTTCTCCAGATTGTGTCCCAAGTTACCAGAGCCAGCCGGAGAAGCGTATTTTCTACAGCCTGCAAAAGTGCTTCATTGGAGAATGTGATTTATGACACAGCCTGGGAGGAGGGGGGAAACAGGTCATAAGTGGGCAGTAAATTATGTAGGGCAGAGCCGACTGCACTTGGGAAAAGTGCTGACATGCTGCTGCTAATAAATAATTGGATTTCTTTTGAAACTTGGCTCAAGGCTTATGAATTAATTAGGGCATCCATCGGAACCCTGACAATAGATTAGCTTTGGATGATTACAATGAAATATGGCTACCTTTTCCACTAGTGCAATACTTATGTAGAACGCATACATATGTAATATGTATCTGTGAATATATAACAGAATTACAGAATTCAAAGGGACCTGGAGGTCTTCTAGTCTAGCCCCCTGCTCAAGCAGGAGACCCTATATCATTTCAGACAAATAGCAGTCCAGTCTCTCTTAAAAGCCCCCAGTGATGGAGCAGTATGTTTCTATTTCCTGTTTTTTAGTTTTCTTGTTTTTCCTTTTTTTTCCTTTTTTTCATAGCCACATATATTATTTATTTTTCTTTCGGTTTTTTGGTTTTAGTTAATAAAAGCAAAATAAGCAATCAAACAAAACATTTTGACTGTCAACCCCAGAATGAAGGAAAAAGAAGAGAGGGAATAAAAGGAAAATAAGAATTTGTTGTGTGTTTGTATGCACATGTGTCCAGATGCGTATGTTTCATAATGTATGCTATATAGGAGAATATTATTATCTTCATTACATTGGAAGGTTGGTATATAAATTAAGTAATTATAATAGTAATTATAATAGTGAGTCCATCCACTGAGATCATGCATGTCCCAGAAGGCTAGTCTCCAAGGATGAAAAATACTCCCTGCATTAGACTTTTATTTCTGGGATGCTAAATAATCATTGGCTCATATAGTTTGTGAGGCATTCTGAAGATCTTATCTATATTTATGTACTTCCAATGACACATGGATGAAAATTAAATACACATATACCACATTTATATTTACACCAATAGTGAACATCACATCTAATTACTGCTGTTTGCTAATGGATATTTTCTGCCATCTGAATGTTTTATTCATTTAATTTACATTAGACTGTTATGCATTAAGTTCTGCAGTAATGTGTGTTAATAAATTAGCTGCAGTACTTTCCATTATACATGAAAAAGAATGCCTAACCTTACAATGTACTTACAGTTAATATGGAGTAACTGCCTTTCAGATATAGACAGAGGTAAATAATTATCAGAATACGTGGTTTAAATAGAAGCACCTGATAGACTATGGAATACTTTAGATTGATTTCAGGGAAGTGTTTTGGGGAATACACAGGGAGGTAAACACTATGGTTCTTTTAAGAACCCTGTGTAATTTCTTAGAATGGGGAGGGGGAGGGGAAGATGGAGAGGACCAAAGAGCTACTTGGAATCTAACCAGATCTGTTAATCTCCTAGGGCAAACCTACATAATCTGATCCAACTCCTCTAGAGCGGATGAGATTATGCATTCATCCTGCAAAATCTCTCTATTAGGGCTTGACCCCTTGATCTAGTATAACATTATGGGTAGCATCTTTATTATTGGTGGCCACTTTGACATAACAGTAGTGCCATAACCTGATGCTGCTTGACCTGAATCTGCAGGTTATCCTGATAAGCAGAAGAGCCAAATATTTAGGGGGTACAAATAGAAGGTTGAACCGCTCTGGCTAATGAAACATCCCATTTCAACTGCAAAGCTGGTCCTTCAGGCACAAAGTAAATTGTTTGGGATATTATGGAAATGTTAAAACTTGAACTGATTTGAAAAGTAAAATAGGGAATTTTTGTTTTGCCAGAGTGTTGCATGCCACAACAAAGTTACAAAATACTCTGACCAAAAGCCAAATTTTAAATAATCCAGGACAGTACTTTCAGGTTAGTTAATTTGGTTTGAAAATTATGAAAAATAATAAAGAGTTAACAACTGAAAGTTGTCAACCTTTATGCAAAGATACATTTTGAAACTGTCAGCTCTTGTGAATGGGTTTTTGACATTTGTAGTTATAAAAGATGTTCTTGGTAGATCTAAAGGAAACTATGATGATGCCAAAACGAACACATCTACAGGATAACCACCATATTATGTAAAAAAAAAAATACTAGAATAAGTACTATGGTACTTAAGCCCTGACATCTGATCAAATAATGCATGATGCTACATTTGCATCCCCTTTCATTATTTGCTGCCCAATGTATGCCCATAGAGGGTCTGTTAAAAAAAATAATCCTGTCTTATATAAATATCCCATGTGACCTTCGTGCTTTAATATATCACTTAAGTCTGTTCTGGAATTGACATACTAACACTAAGAGAAAATGAACCAATAAGTCTAATGTAGGTAGAAACAGTGGACATAAATGGGGCTCCATGAATTGATCACATGTCTTGGTCATTCCCTAGTTACCTCCCTTGGTGACTTTCCATGTGCTATGCCTGAGCTTCTGCGGTTATGTTCTCTCTTTATATTGTTTCCCTTTTGCCGAAGGCCACGCTCAACGAATTGGCAGACAGTGGCGTGTGTTTGCATGGGCTCGCTTCCTCCACAGCCAGCCTCAACACTTAGGGCCTCCTTTAGTGGAATGTGTGAAGAGGCTTAGTATATCAGTAGCAGGTCCACAATCCTGGTTTCGGTGATAAGGTTATCTGTGATGACATTCCTCCCAACTTGGGATTTATAGCCAAGTGCTTGGCTGCAGGTAATTAGTTAAATTTAGGGCAGTGTTATTTTATCATTGTGTATTCTACAGACTGGCCTATGGCCTCTTCGTCTTGTCTGTATTTATTCTTATTTTATTGTAAGACAAACTCTCTAATCTTTTCCAGAAAATTACATGTGCTGCTCTTATTTCCCATAGGAAAAGTTTATTCAGAGATATTTAGTAATTTTATCTTCTAAATAAGATTGTGTTCTTACGTGAGGGATTATTCACTATGCAGAAAAATAAAAATGAATATCTTTAATCAATCTGGATATTAGCAAGTTACATACTTTCATCTGGATATTTAATCAGTAGCCCATTGAACTTTTCTTTCCTTCCTTATAAGGCTGATTTTTCATTTAAATTTATATCTACTTCACCCTTTTTCTTTCTTTTTTTGTGACAGTAACCTATCATCACGTGATTTCTTGTGCTCTTGAGGGGGGATTGGAGGAGCTTTGTTATGGGTCTTCTCTACCCAGAATTACCCCTTTGAACCTGGAGTTAATTCAGTATATGGAAATAGATTCTACACTTTTGGAATATGTCAGGTTATACCAGCAATCAAGGAAAGAATCTGAGAAGAGGTAGATAACAATAGAACTGTAGAACTGAAAAAGCCATTTAACCCACGGTGTCTAACCCTGTGTAGTACAGAAATCCTAATCAAACAATGCATTACCAATGGCTGTCCACCCTTTTCTTGAACATGTCCCGTGAAGGGGAGTCCACCTCCTCAGTGGGTAATGGTTGAACTATTCTTGCTCTTGATGTTTTTCTTGCCCTTGCAGACATGGCTGTATATTATTGTTTTGCAAAATGCCGAATGCAAGCTTCAAATTCAAATAAATAAACCTTCATTTATCCATTCCACTCCAGCTAGCATCCTTTCCCATGCACTTATTTGGAAGCAAAAACATATCCTGTATCTAACACTAGAGGTCTCCTTGACCAACAGCCTGAGAAACCGTGAATGAATAAAATATTCATTTTAGTTTTATTTCCTTTCTCTTATATATTTTTTGTCTTATTTATTTTAAGCTCCATTAAGTGGAGCCAAGACCAGGGTTTTTTTAAACAACAAAATATAATGCAATTCTTTCCAAAAATGCATTTTAATCTTTTCTAAGAAGGTTAAAAATTGCAATTCTAATTTTTTTTTCTTCCGTGTGTGTTTTCAAGGTCAAGAACCTTCAAACAAATCAAAGCTAGGACCTGTGGAGCTGACTGTAGTTATAACCATACCGGTGTGTGTGTTGTCTATTGTTTTCCTGCTGGCAGCATACACCTGCCAAGGATACCTCTGCAGACACAGAAAGAAAAGAAGGCCAAATATTGAAGAGCCTCTCTCTGAGTGTAATCTGGTGAACCCAGGAAGATCTCTCAAAGATCTAATTTTTGACATGACAACATCAGGTTCTGGATCTGGTATGTTTATGTGCCCCAGAGTTAATTACAGGTGTATAGTTTCTCCCCCTGCTTTAAGGTGGACATCACTGTGATGTATTTGTGCATGAGGACTGTTACTATATCATATTATAGCTTATGTTGACATAGACTTGATTCTTTCAGTGTCAGAAAGAAGTACCCCAAGATCACACACAGGCTCAAGGGGCTATTGAAACAATCACATTCCACAACATTGCTCCACATCCCAGGGAAATAGGGTGAAATTAGTTTTTTTAAAAAAATTCATATCACATTGTCTTATACTTAGTATTAAGTGAATGGAGATAAATACATTTAAAAGATAATGTAAACAATTAAAGGCTTAAATTTCAGAGCAACCTAAAAAACAATATTCAGTAAAGATAGTGTGCAAAATTTAATAGAAGAGTTGTACAGGTATGATGAGATAAGAGAACTCTCTTTAAAGAAGCTACTACACATTCTGGGCATCGTGTGTGTGTGTATGTGTGTATGTGTGTATGTATGTGTGTGTTGTCTCTGCTCCTGAAGGAGGAGATAGACAATGAGTAAGGCCTAAGTAACTTAGCAACATGGGTAGGAAATATGTATTTCACTATTCAGTCCATGAAAAATAATTCCATCATGGATTTATAGATTCAGCTACAAAGGAATTGGAAAGAGAATGAATATTACCCACGAACAAAATTAGGCTAACATTGTTTCTCCCCACCACCCTCAAAATCTATCAGGGAGATTCATTTCCCTTTTTAAAATTTAGGTGATAGTTGTGGGATTCTATTCTAATTTTCTTTAAGAGCCTGATTTTCATAGAGAAGCCGCTTCTTTTATTTCTTCCTGGACTGACACTACAACACTTTTAAATAAAGAGATCCTTCAGCCATTTCATAGATTTATTTTTCAATTCAATCTCCATCTCCTTCTATAGGAAAGGGCAATTTTGAATAGATTAAATACTAAAACAAACAGGGGAGGGGGAAAACAGGCAGTATAAAAAGCACTTCTCTGATGGACTATTATGCATAAGGATTGAAAGATCAAACTTCACACTGAACAGTTCACACTGAACCTGAAGTGAATAGTTACCTCGTGCAAAATTATGCCTTAGTTAATTTTTGAGCTCCAGAAAAAAACACAGCAAGAGGGTTCTAAAATCATTAGGTTTTCTGTCTCTTCTTACAGACAGTTGTATGCACCTTGCTGTACAATGGCCCAGTGAGAATGTCTCTAGAGCCCTGATACCTCATTAAGGGTCTTTACCTGAGTTGAGTGAGAGAAGTTTCACTGCACCAACTGCTATGGTCCCTAAGAATAAGCCCTTATTTCTGATGCATCTTATAAGATGTTGCCAAAGTTGCCTTTTATGAAGAACTGTGCTTTTTTTATCTTTCAAAACTACCCGTAAATGCCAAGTCTCAGAACTGAGGCGGTACGTAAAATCTTACTTTTTTATTAGTGGGAAAATGCTTGTCTTGGGATGAACTTTTGGCCCTACGGAGGGTAAGCTGCACAGATTCTCATGCATATTGCATGACTCTTGCATATGTCTGGAGCACTTTTGTAGCGACACAAGTCTCTTGTTGGTTGAGAGATGAGGCACATCTATTTCTCAAGAGGTATATGAAATGCAGTGTATGAGTAGCATATAAAATAGGCATGCACAGCATAGAGAATATAGATCTGAAGAGCACCTCAAAAGATACTGCTGAAGAGTAGCCTTTAACGGGACACAAAGGGCAAATCGTTAAACACGTATTTACTTAAACTGCATCTAATTGCTATCACCGAATTGAACCTTAACACCATTTGTTTTTGTTTCAATCTGTTCTGCTGTTGTCCTGTCCCTTCCCACATTTTTAAATTGCATGTATTCCATGCATTTGGGGATATACTTTGAAGTATTCTGACAGCATCTTTTCTGGATGGTGTAAATCTAAATATATGTTAAGCAGCAACCAACTTATCATTTAAAATATTATCTTCCCAGAGTAATAGGAGATGGGCAGCATTTAAAATATTATCTTCCCAGAGTAATAGGAGATGGGCAGCATATAAGTTTAATTAATTAATTTATTATTGTTGTTGTTGTTGGTTACCCAGTCAGCCAGATATTTAGACTGGACTTGGCATCTTTATCCACCAACTGAGTTTTCCAAAATCTTCTCATCACTTAGGAGCTGATTTTTTTTTTATTGCTCTGCTGTTTGGGCAGTTTCCTTTTGGCTCAGGTGGAAAGGGATTGTTTTCAATTAGATGCTGTTGGACTGCATCAGACATAATGTCAATCTGAAAGTTGTTGGTAAACAGGTAAATTGGCCTGACATTGCCTGATGCTGCCTCAGATAGGTTTTGCCAGAAGTTAGCCAGTCTTCAATTTCACCTCCTTGCAATGTGCTGTTAAAACTGCTTTGCAACGAGTGGATGTAGACCAGTCAGATGTTTCAACCCAAACTTATGCCAATTCATCTTCACCTGCTGCTGACCAATTCTTGAACTTCCTTACCCTTTTCTCCCCCATGTGTGCTGGTATTACAAGATCTTTCAGCTTCTTTTCCCCCTTAGCTACTTCCTTTATCAAAGCTGCATTCTTTTTGTATTTCTTTGAGTTGTCCCATAGCTGTACCCAGAACTGCACTGTTTTTCTTGATCAGATGTTGGCTGCTTCATTGCACTCTTCCGTTGAAGAATTTGCAAAGTATGTTTCTGATTTGGCTGAAATTGGAGAGCCTGCTTGTGGTGCAATTCTAGCTTCAAACCCACTGAGCTATTTGGCTATGGCTGTTATTTGCTACTTTATTACTTCCAGTGCTTCTTTGATCTCCCTTGTTTCTAAGTTAATATTTCTTGATCAGGTATTTTTGGGTCTTCTTGTTCTTCAGCTTTTATTTGTTCTGGCTTGCTTGGGTCTAATCTTAGCATGACAATTTTATTTTTCCAACCTGATCTCCCGTTTTGGTAGTTCACTGGCTTTTTTCCTTGTTTGCTGATTTTGCTTCCAAGATTTTCAGTTATGACTGCAGCTATGGTGTACATCAGTTTTCTTTCTTGTAGTGAGCTGGCGTTTATATTTGATATTACAGTATTGGTGTCTTTTAATACTTGTGCTAGCTGTTTCTTTGGAACAAACTTCAATCCAGACAACCTTATTTTGTGTGTGTTTCTGTGTGCTGTTCTAGATATTCAGCTATTTTTTGTTTTATTTCAGCTATTTGTGTTTTCGATTAGAGGGCTTTATTCTTTCTGAGGAGAAGGCAGACGAAAGGGTGCTTGGTTTAGAATGAAAACTATTTAACAGCCTATGCTGGCTTTCTCTACTGTTACCCCACCCCTCTTTCTCCAGCTGAGTTACTTTGATTTTTTGTTGTTGTTTCCCTGGGTAGACTTTTGTAGTTCTTCCAGTTCTGTTTCTGTGAATATTTTCTTTTGTATTACAATTGACACTGATCTGCTAGCTTCTGTTCAGTTAGCTTTGATTCTGGATGCTGTACTTTCCAAAACTGGTGCATTCTTTGTGATAGCCTCTTCTTACTGGATTGGATTTGTAGTAACAGATCATTTTATTTGTTTTTAATCTTCACACATTATTATTGTGGAACAATAATAGAAACTTCCGTGGTAAAATTTCTGACAGTGTCCCAATTTCTGTCTGTCCTATCATCCTGCTTGTCATCCTATTATCTGTCACAGGGTCCTCAACCCCCCCGCCACCCTTGACCTGTTAGGAACTGGGCCATACAAGTGAGCAAAGCATCATCTGTGCATGCATGGGATCTAGGTAGCACACGAAGCCACACATTCCCAGTCCATGGAAAACAATTTGTTCATGCAACCAGTCCATGGTGCCCAAAAGGTTGGGGACTACTGATCTATCATGCTTGTCTCTCCTATCATCTAGCATCTGGCAAAGCCACTAGTTGGATTAAACATTTTAGTTGCCTTCTGAATATTCTGCATATATCTGTAGAAAGAAGAAAAAAATGCCAGGGGGAAATCATTTTTGACATTCCAAGTAACATTTGACTCTAAGCCAAGTCTGGAATGGGTTCTTCATTATCAATCTACAATAATGGACATTTCTACAATGCTTCCAGACATGTTTTGGCTTCAAAAGTCAGACTCATGATGACAATTCCTGGATATTTTGTGCCAGTAACTTTTGTTCTGAAACAAGTGCAGATTCAGATGGAGCTCTTGCTTAAAACTGTGCCTTATGTGAATTGACGTCAGTGACTGAACTCTCATTTCTTCTAAGCTGAATTATCCAAGCACTGGCTTGAAATAGAGCTACTCTATTGAAGAGAGCTTAATGAGGGTTGTGCCACTCCTAGTTGATATCATCAACTAGTTGGCAGACCTGGAACATGCTTCAGACAGTCACTGGCTACAATACCTTCAAGGTGATGGCATCGCTCTTGACCCCTAGGAGCCTATTTTGATCACTGGGACAAATGGCCAGAGTTGAATAAGATACTTCTCATGCTGTCCCTGTATCTAGCTCTCATTTGGCTTATTGTTAGTCAAACAAACCTTTGTATTGCCTGTCTGTCTGTCTCTGCCATGTTTCCATTTCTGAAAAATGCAGTTTAGGTAAAAATAAGACCTTCCTATTCTCATGTGTCTGTTACCATTCACTGATAGCTGGGCTAAATGCTCTGGATAGCAAGATGGGAGGTGTATAAATGTAATAAATAAATAAGCCTGTACTCTGCATCTAAGGTAACGTAGTGAGCATTTTACTTTTTCAGTAAAATGCTTTCCCATTTAATTACTCTGCATATGCTAAGAAGCACATTCTCTACTCTCCAGTAGGTTTCTATCTCAAATGGAAAACAAAGGTTTAAAAAGCCATCTCCTTATTCCATTTTTCAGTCTGATGAGCAGTTTATTTATCCCTGTGCGGGCTGTAATTGCTGCGCATTGTAACTCAGCAACAACTACAGGATCACAGATTTCCATGGCTGCTTATAGAAAGCCAAAATAGATTTGTTGCTGGGTGAGACGCAACAGCAGCCGACTATGTCATTATTAGATATGAAATGAGAAAAAAGTTTGGAAAATATTGAATGTGGGTTGCCTTTTATGAATACAGAGGAGTCCTATTTGGAAACTGAGATTGGCTTCTGTTGTAGAGATGGTGAGTTCATATAACGGCATGATTATAATGTATGAAAAAAGCACCCCTTCTCACAGTCCAATCCTCGGTACATAATTGCCCCTTAAATTGTCCATGCTGAAAAAGCCTCCTGTTTCTGAGTTTGTTCGAGAGCATGTGATAGAAAAACACTGTCTTGTTGCTGCTTTGAATGAGATGAGATTGTGTTAGCATAATATTAAGCTTTTTAAAGAAGAATTGTATTTTTTTAAAAAAATAAAAACTGTAATTGCATATTTTTCTCATTAGGTTTACCTCTCCTTGTCCAAAGGACAATTGCAAGGACTATTGTTCTTCAAGAAATAGTTGGAAAAGGTCGATTTGGCGAAGTCTGGCGTGGAAAATGGTGTGGAGAGGATGTTGCTGTGAAGATCTTTTCTTCAAGAGATGAAAGGTCTTGGTTTCGTGAAGCAGAAATCTACCAGACAATCATGCTGAGACATGAAAATGTCTTGGGTTTTATTGCTGCTGATAACAAGGGTATTGTACTTCCAAACAATTTTGCAATGTTTGTCTTGTGTTGGATTAGACTAACAGAATTATTTTTCTATTCCTTAAAAAAAAAAAAAGGTTTGTGGAAAGAAGGAAAAAAAACTACGCTTCTTATATCTGTTTTGAAAAGCTTAGCTCAGCTATGGCAAACTTTACAGAATTTTCTTCTGTTGTCTCTGTAGCCTCTGAAAGCTGTGAAAACATCCCATTCTTGTGCAATGTTTGGAGGCTGCCCAAGAGCACACACCCCAGCCTTCTGTAAATCACACAAGAATGAGGCTTGTTATTGGGAATAGTTGTTGTTGGGTGCTGGTGAACACTGGCATGTCACTCAAAGTGCCAGGGCATGTCACCTTTGATATGCAGGTCTTAGATTCAATATCACTGGCTTAGTTTATCATGCTTTGGATCTGGAAAAAGAGGAAAATTATATTCTGTAGTTGTGCTGTGAGTAAGCACCATTCCTATATCCACTCCACATGGACAACAAAGATGATCAGTGGCCTTTGGGAAGCACATGCACACATATATGAAATATATTTACACCGCAGAGGTGGTATTCAGCAGGTTCTGAGCAGTTCTGGAGAATTGGTAGCTGAAATTTTGAGTAGTTCGGAGAACCGGTGGTAACCTTCCCCCAGGAGTGGGGTAGAAATTGAAATTTTACACTTTCCTTCCCCTTCCATGCCCACCAAGCCACACCCACCAAGTCATGCCACGCCCATCAAGCCACGCCCACAGAACCGGTAGTAAAAAAATTTGAATCCCACCATTGATACACTGTGTGTGTATATTTGATGTAAATATTACAGCCTCTGAGTATCCTATTCCTTTTCATCCCCGTAGATTTCTAAGGAGTTGATGAAACAGGTAGGACAACCTCTGAAACAGATTAAACCAAAATTAAGTCCTGTTTGAAGTTTAACTCACAGATAATCTTTACAGATAAAATCATTTGTATCATGACGTGGGCTTTAGTGTTGGGGAAGGCCACAAGAATGACATTTAATAAATCCTTTTCCTTTGAAATCTTCTAGCTTGTAGATATTAAAGGGTAAGGACAGATAAATATTAAGTACTGTACTTCTGTGGTAGCAGGATGGGTTTCACTCTGCCTAAAAGTGGAAACTTTCGGTTCTGTTGAAGAAGCTCCCTCTTTCCAGGAAGTTATAACAAATCACAAATATTCTATTTCTGGAAAGCAAACTGAGAAGCCATGATACTCATGACCTGGACCAATTTCAATTGCATTTCTGGCAATTGATGATTGGTATACTAGAAACTGGATGGGAGGAGTGGGTGTAGGTACTACAGCCTTCTTAATTCTCCTGTCCTCCTCAGTGAACTCTTTGCCAAGGTTGGACCTTAGGGGGCACTGTTTCACAATAGTTGTAGTACTGTCAGGTTTTGTCCAAAACTTGGTGCCAGAAAACTACTGTTTGACATCTAGGCCATAGATCTGCAATATCTACCAGTTTTTCATTTTGATGTACGTGCTGTTCAATTTCGTAATGGAATTGATGGAGGAAATCATTCTGAGTTTTAGAGTAAGGTGTCGTTATTAAGCTGATGACACCAAGCTCTGTTGCTCCTGATCATCCGGCTTCAAGGAAGCTGCTAGAAATATTTGAATGTTGTATAAGCTTGGTGATAGATTGGAGGAGCAAGGGGGGGGGGGGGGGGGAGAGTGGGGGAAGGTGGAATTAAATTTAGGCAAGGCAAAGATGCAATTATAAAACTGAATCCTAGGTTTGAGACCATTTTGTACGGGTTACACTTTCTTTAAAAGGCTAGATCCACCAATTGAAATTATTCCTCAGCTGGAAGATTTGTAAGTGGCAGTTATGACAATAAATATGTTGGCAGGTTGCAGCAGCTTTTCTTGAACTGGTTGGATTTGGTGACAGTTATCCATGTCTTTGTTACAGCCTGATATGACTGTTACCGTGCACTTTACATAGAACTACCTAGATTCTAGAAATGCTAGTTGATATTCAATGCAATGATAATTGGACTTGTGTCTGGGGCAAGGTGTCATGTGGTACACGTACATAGTTTGCTGTCAAGTTCACTGCCCTTTGGTTCAAGGTACTAATATTTGGGTGTTCATCTGCCAAAGCTGGAAATAACCCAACAGCAAGATATGTATTACAACCTGGCCAATTCTTATGATGCACATACTAGAATAGTTTGTCTTTCAACATGCTTTTAATTGTAATTAACATCAGAATTAATTTTTATTTATCTTTGTACCATCTGTACTCTGGGTTTTTTTTAAATTTTATTAAAATAAAAATATATATAAATTGTGTTTGATGCCAGTGATAACAGAAAATAATATACAATTTTTAATAAATGAACATATAAACAAATATGAAGATATAGCCTAGCATAGCTTTGGCTTCTAGGAGCCTAAGTTTCTGCATTCAACAGCAAACATAAACAAAATGAAATAAAAATGACAAGGAGAAATTGGCCGTCTGCAAGGGGGAAACCCAATATGTGCAAAACCCAACGCAAAAGGTCCACTCGGCCCCAATCTCATCACAGGCAGAGGGTATTCATTTCTTTTCAAGGGATCAGAGATGCTATCAATTTAGCTTAGGGAATATTTTAAGTCCTCACTCAATAGCAGCTTTTGCATACTTCATTTAAATTCCTTCCTGTGCTTGACATTATTCTGCTCACTTTTAATCTGCTCAGAGAATTATTGTTACTGGGTCAGTTAAGAATAAAATGTGTGAAAGGGTATATGGACCTGCTGGAACAAGGATAGAAAGATAGGGAGAAGTATAACAAATAGTGTAGTAAATGGTAACCAGAGCTGTGTTTCTTTTTCTTATTGCTCGCCTTTAATGTCTTTGGATTACTGCTTCTTAGTCTTTTTTCTGCATGCTTCATAGTGTTGCCTAGTCAAAGAAATAGTCTGAAGAGAATGTAGATATGTGCAGAAGTTAGTGGAACCATCACTTATGTAGAAAATAGAGGTATTATGGCAAATGTTCAGTGGGTGGATGAGGAAGGACATTGCTTATTGGTTCAGGAAAGAGGCAAAGAATTTAATCAAGCTCAAAGTACAGTTAAATTTAAATAAAGTTTGACGTGGCTGCATTTCAAAGACTACTTGTTATCTTATATTTGTTTTTTTGTGTTTTTTTTTTTACACAAATGCCATAATTAGAGCACTATAAAGTGCTCTTAAGATATAGTCCTATGGTAGAATGAATTCCAGAGGCTTCTTTAAATAAATTGCCTCCTGTATGGGCTCAGAGAGATTTTAACCAGTTAACTATGTTTTGCTTAAATCTATTGGTTGTACTGGAATCAAGACTGTACAATTCTGGATGGAGATTTCCGAAAGAGGGCTTGAGTTTTATATCAGCTAAGCAATTAAGAGAAGTAAAGGTACTACAGGACTCTTTCTTTTCCTGTGTGAACAGTTTTTTAAAAAATAATTTTATCTCATCCTTAAAAGGTTGGTTGCTTTTTTGGTTGGAGAAGGGCCATGGTACCCTTGGCTCTATTTATTTCCTAAAACATTCTTAAATAACTGTCTGTTTCTAGTTTAAAAAAAAACTCCAGAAATCATTTCCATGCTTTGCTATACCAGTTCCATATGCTATAAACCCATTTTTGTTTCATGTGAACACCACATGAATGGGTACTCATCTGACAGTTTGAGATAGTCATATATCATCTAAATGTCTTTGTCTTTGAAGAGAAGGATCCATGATACATAGAAGAAGCATGTCAATGAATGTGTAAAGATACTGTCTAAGGAAACAGTTAGCGTGGGTGGACTTTAGCATAACGGTTTAAGTCCTATACAGAGGCAGATGAACTACCGGTACAAGCAGACAAAAGGTCAAAACATACCCCTGCCTGCCCTCCTTCTAATGCACTGATTTTCACTAATGAGTTTTATGCTCATAAATATAGCTCATCCCATGCATGTGTATTTGGAAACCAGCCTCTGCATTCAGTGAGACTTAGTCCGCAGTGTTGAGGATTGACGCTTTAATATGTGAAGCTCCATTCTAGTATTTTGTTATGTTGTATATAGCCATGTTAACATTGCCAAATCTTTCCCACTTGGTAGCGCAGTGGTTAGAATGCAATACTGTAGGCTACTTCTGCTGATTGCTGGCTGACTGCAATTTGGCAGTTCAAATCTCACCAGGCTCAAGGTTGACTCAGTCTTCCATCCTTCTGAGGTGGGTAAAATGAGGACCCAAATTGTTGGGGAAAATAGGCTTAATCTGCAAACCGCTCGGACAGGGCTGTAAAGCACTATGAAGCGGTATATTGGTCTAAATGCTATTGCTATTGCTACCAATAATCAACAGGTTTTGTAAATCTCATGAACCTTGGAATGATTAAACCCACATGCTTTTTTTGGTAATCTCTCTCTGTAGACAATGGGACCTGGACTCAACTGTGGCTTGTAACTGAATATTATGAGCAGGGCTCTTTGTTTGACTACTTAAACAGCAACACTGTGACGGCTGATGAAATGATTAAGCTGACATTTTCAATAGCCAGTGGTCTAGCACATCTGCACATGGAAATCGTTGGAACTCAAGGTATAACAACCCTTTTCAGGGCAGTTTTCTTTGTGTTAAAGTCATAAGACTTAAGAATAACTTGAAGAGAAGCCAGAGGGATATGTTTAATGGGGCAACCAAGCTTAAATCAACTTAATTGGCATCCACATCTTGGTTTAACCAGGAATAATCACTGTCCTCCTCTTCCAGCAGCACTATAATACCTGGCAACTTTAGGAAAGGCGAGAACTTGCCTTTGTCCATTAGATTGAGCATCATTTTCTCCTCCTCACTCTGATTTACATGGGAGATTGGCATTTGACTAATAATTAAAACTCCATGTAACCATGAAGAAGTCCTTCGCCTTGCTTTTTCCACATCCCATTTTCCTTTTGCACTACTTGAATTAACACTTGGGTGTATTTATAAGTATTGCAGAAACAACTCTGAGAGTAAAGTCTCTTTCACCTTGAACTTGGTTCCTGGGGACATCCTGGATATGTCCATTGAGAGATTGCCTGTTTCCAGGATAGAAGACTTTTGCTTTCCTCCTCTAAAGTCCTCGGATTTCCTGTTATCTTTTACCGAAACAGTGACAAGTCCCATCCCTACAACACTTAGCTTTCTGAGGTTCCAGTGAAATCTAGACTCAGACAATATATGTGGGCCTTTCCCCCCCTCCCCAGAAAATCCCATGGGGTCGATGTAACTGAGAGGACAGGCCTCCCCATCTGCTGTATCATATCTGCCCAACTGCATGAAGAATTTTAACATCTGAGCCAACTTTTTTTTGACTTTGTGCCATTTTGACTGAAGCCAGAGCAGAGTTAGAATTGCCCCCCCCCCCCCCATTACAATGTAATTCTTGGGTTTGAGGTGGTCTGTTCACTTTGTTTTACCATATCTTCCAGCATCAAAATGCATATGTTGCATCCACCGATAGCTGCCCACCCACCCTATTTTGGGTAAGATCCTCTTAGGAACGAGGGATTCTGAGGTCTAGGATCACTGCCAGATATGTGGGTAAAATTGCTCAGATTCGTTCTGCATTGAACTCCAACTCTGATATAGATCCAATACAGTTTCGGGGGGGCTGAGTTTTGCATGGTTATCATGGAGGAACTTGAACTCCTGAGGAAGTGAACAGGGTTCTTGCAACTGTTAGTTTGGCCATAGTTAGACCTATGTCCCTCCTGGCTGCTTAAGGCTGCCTAAGAGAGGATGTGTGATTGAATCTGCATCCATCCTTGTTCTTCTTGACCTTGACTTGGTGTGACTTGGAATAGTGACTCCTCCACAAGGAGCACTTTTAAGCAGCACTTAAAAGAAAAACCAGGTTTTCCTGTTCTTTTCAACTCTACTAGTTGCATTTGTGTGCAAAATGTTGTTATTCTGCCTGAAGAATCCATTTTGGGGCTGCATATGCTAATTTTGTTGCAACTAACAATTTCAGGTTAAGCAGCAAAGACTGCTAAGATTTCTGACTGTTTTCACTTGAACATAAATAGAAGTAGCCACTCAGTCAGGAATCTTGCTTTCTCAAGTAGAAAGAATATTTTATTTCATTCCTCTTATTAGTGTTGACATATTGTATTTATCCTAAGACCTGAATACCAGAGTAATATGTATTTTCTGTTAAGTAAACCAATTGTATCTAATATTTGACCTTGTTACCATATACATTTGTGCTTCAAAGGAAAGCCAGCTATTTCACACAGAGACTTGAAATCTAAAAATATCCTAGTCAAAAGGAACGAAAGCTGTGCTATTGCTGATTTGGGGCTAGCTGTGAAGCATGACTCGGTATTAAACACAATTGACATACCACAGAACCCTAGAGTAGGAACCAAGAGGTAAGACAATAAAAAAAGTAAAGATTTTATAAAATTATGATATGAGCATAAAATTGCAACCGTATTGAACAAATGATCCCTTGCAAATTGACCCTCTTCATTTTAGTGATAGGTCTCCAGATTTGTGCAGTCTTGTAAATCATTCTCTAATTTTGCTTTTCAACTTTGCTCTTGAGCATTTTTAATTATCACATGATCTATAGCCACATATAACTGGGCAAGAAAGAATCAAAATACTGATAGCTTCTCCTTGTGATTCTTCAGAAACTATTTTTGTATGGTTCAGTCTATTGTTTTTCCTTGGTAAACTCTATGACCTTTTGAAATCAAATAAGGCATTTCCTTAAATAAAAGTCATGGATAGTGAGGAGTTATGTAGGGTTTGTTTTTCCCCAGATCTCAAGAGCAAAAACAGAGCGGTAATTCATTATAGAAGGAACATTGCTGGGTATAGACAATTAGGTGAATGAATCATTCTTCCTATGTCCATTTGAAAGTAATTGAACTTATTGAAAACTTTTTATGTAGAAAAGCAAGTAAATTGAATGTATCTCAAGTTGATCTGCACCTAATGTGGGAGTACATATTCTGTTTTGCATTATGGTAAATTGATGATCAATGTTATATTTAAGAACTATTTGTTTCTTTCAGATTGATCAAAAGGAAACTGCTAAAGTGGGATTTGGGGGCGGAATATGAATAATAATCTGAATTTTTCCTCTCAATTACGTTAACTTATTTAAAAATATAACATGTATTGTCCATTTGAGTTATCCTTCCTTTAAACATGCTGCTATATATTGGAAAGACTAATTAAATTCTCATTAGCTGTGATTACTTGTAATTCCCCTTTCATCAACAAATATCTGAATTTCACTCTCTCTGGGTTTGAAAGGTACATGGCACCAGAAATACTTGATGATACAATGAACATAAACAACTTCGAGTCTTTCAAGCGTGCAGATATCTACTCTCTTGGACTGGTGTATTGGGAGATATCCAGAAGATGCTTAGATGGAGGTATGACCCATGTCCCTTATTAAGGCTATTTACACTGAACCAAAACTTTTCCTTCTTACAGAATTTCTGATTAATTTTGGACGTGGTGTATTACATTTAATTATACAAAAATATATAACCTGCTTTAAAGAGATTTTAAAATAAAAAGAAGTATATTTTTTAAAAAAAATATCTTTTACATATTAATCAAATCAAAAGGCATAAACAGGATAAATACCAAAATGAACATTCAATTAACTGAAATAGAAATAGAATCAAAAACTTATTTAAAGGTAAATGTTTTCCATTTTCAGAAGCACATGGAATGAAAGCAAGGCAACTCTTATTCGTAACAGTTCCAGGTGATTTCAGATCACAGAGAAGTAAATTCTGGCAACGCTGATTTAAACACTAAGCGGAAATAATCTTTTATATTGCTATTACTTCTCTGAATTTGGACAGTAGGGGTGGACACTTTTTGAAAGATCATCTTTTGTCTATGGAGATTCTCAATCATCCAGGCCATGGTTGTCCTAAAGGTGCTTTTCCAAAGGCAACTGGATTTTCTTGGGGTTTTTTTCTTCGAAAACGTTTTGCTTCACATCCAAGCAACTTCTTGAGTTCTAAAACTGAATCTAGAACTGAAAAAGCTTCTTGGATAAGAAGCAAAACATTTTCAAAGAAAAAACCAAGAAAGTCCAGTTGCCTTTGGAAAAGCACCTTTAGGACATAATCTTTGAAGAATACAAATGAATACAAGTTTGATATGCTGGATATGGTGCCAGGCTAAAAATAGCTATGCTATCTTTGGCCAATCATTTTCTTAGTCTTAAGAAAAAAAGTAATAACAAAACACTTCCAAAAATCTTGCTAAGAAAATTTCAGGGGTTAGTCTAGGCGGTTGCAAGAATCGTTACTGACAAAAAGAAACAAAATGGAACTGGATTATATTTAGAAACACCATTCTGAAATGTACATATATAAAATTGTTTTTTTGTTGTTGTTCTTAAAACATTTCTCCCATCTGTATCAAAGTCAAAGTGAGAATCTCTTTCTGTTACCCAAACAGAAATTATTGTAATAATTACCCTAATTATTGTAGGGTAAGATATAGAATCTTCCTGTAAAAGATTTGTGATCTCATATTATGTTACTGTATAAGTATAGTCTGTTATTACTGTTGTATATAAATGCATTTGTGCTTCTTCTGTCAGCTGATATCAAAATTTGATTAATTATCAGGTTTTTTTAAACATAAGGATTGGTAGGGAAAATATCTGTCAAATTCAGGATCTTTTCAATGCTATAAATTTAAACAAAGATAGTTTCCAGTTATTTTTAATTTGAGCCTAATGGCTCTAAAGATTCTGTTTTATAGCTTAAATTGTATATATCTCTACAAAGCGTTCATATTTTGGTATTGAATAATTTTTCGAAAGAAAAACAGACATTGATAGAAAAACCATTCTTTCTTAAGCAAGGGTCTCCAGATGCGTTCAGAAGTATTTCTGAATTCTTGGAAGAAATCAGGAAGTTCTACTCCCACCATGTTTGGACACACCAAGTTAGAACAAGTTTTCAACAGAAAGTTGTGTTAGGAAGTTGATGACTATTATAGTTATAAAAGTTCTAAAACCTGTTTCCTGCAACATTTGAAATGATACTAATATGTAAAAATCTATTGGATACCTCATTACTTTCTTAGGAATTATGGAGGAGTACCAGTTACCTTATTACGATGCTGTGTCTTCTGATCCTTCAATAGAAGAAATGAAAAAGGCAGTCTGTGAACAAAAGCTGAGACCAAATATTCCAAATCAGTGGCAAAGCTGTGAGGTAAAATCATCACCTTCATATATAAAAAAGTACATTTCCAATATTCTCTAATGGCATAAAAGAGACCCAGTGTAAAGCAGGATTTAAATCTGGGTGCCTTATACCTTCACATTCCTAAATTTCATCCTAGGATAAGAAAGTGCTAATCTATCTAGAGGCACCAGGCAGCTGAACAGACAAATGAGGACACGGATAGTTGGAAAGAAGAACAAATAGAGGAGACAGGAGGACAAATTATCTTTTTAACTTTCCTTAACAAACCAAAAGTGAAAAACTGCAACAACAAAAAAGTACTTACTTACGCCTGTGTATGAAATTTCTTTTTCCAACATCAGAAACGCTGGTGTTTCAAGGAAGACAGTATGCTGGTGCGGTTAGGCAGTATGATTAAGGCCTTGCCAATTTCAGGCAGCTGTGCAAGCCCCAGGAGAGTATTAATCAATCAATTAAGGTCAGAGAGGAGAACTTGTTAACTTGCTGGTAGAACCTATTAGGGAGATGCGCACTGCGGAGAAAAAAATGGTAACCCAGAAGAGACATCTTCAGGGGTGGGATTCTACCAGTTCGTACCTATTCGCTAGAACTGGTTGTTAACATTCTAAGCAGTTCAGATAACCGGTTGTTAGAAGAAATTACTAGCCTAATCCTGTAAGGAAGGCAGGAAGGAAACATTCTGGTGTTGCTAACAGAAACTGCCTCTCTGTTAACCCTTATTATGTTCTTGGCAGGACTAGACTTAGTTCCTGTTTCAGGAACTTCTCTGGAGTTTTTTTTCCCCTCCTTTGCTGGTACTTTGCTTGTGTGGAGTGACCATTCAAAGTTAGAATGGCACTGAAAAAAGTGACTTATGACCATTTTTCACACTTATGACTGTTGCAGCATCCCCAGAGTCATGAGAGGCCAGGTGAGGAGAGGCGTGCCTCGATGTGAGTGGTATTGAGTTGGCCACGCCCAGGTAATAACATGACCACCAAGCCACGTCCACCCAGTCACATGACCACCAAGCCACGCCCACCAACTAAGCCATGTTCACAGAACTGGTTGTTAAAAAAATTGAATCCCACCCCTGGACATCTTGTTAGATACTCAGAAAGCTGGACAATATTTGAATTTAAGGTAGATGGAGGACAGAAGGATACAAAGGATCGGACAGAGACATGAGGACAAAGAGGAGGAGATATCCTCCTTTTGCCAGACAACTGGCAAGCCTGTTTCTACATTACCCCTATTTCTGGGAATATGGGCTGAGGGAAACCTTCAGGCAGCCCTGTTGATGTTCTGTAAGGGAATGTATGTACAAATATAAGGAAAGCAGCACTGGGTCAGATAGAAGTCTCGATTCAGCATTTGTTCCTACACAGTTATGGAAAATAGGGGTGGGCAATCTCTGGAAACCCAGATGTGGCTAAACAACAACCCTCAGCACTTGTTACTGATGTTGGGACTTCTCTAGGAAGGTGCTCCTAGCAAAGACTGGAGTGCCACCAATTGCCTACAAGCAGAAGATGATGGCCATAACTCTTTTCTCTTCCTCTTCTTCAGCAACTGGTATTACAAAGCCAATTGGACATAGGTTAATACATGCTTGAGTAAAAGCTTGAGTAGAAAAGGAACATAAATTGTATTAACATATACATGGTAATGATGATGTTTTCCATGAATTTGTCCTTTTAAAGCCATCCAAGTGGATGACCATCACTATATCATTTAATCGCCAGCTTGTCTACTTACAAAACTGCTTTTTATTTGTCATAGTATGAATCTAGACATTGATCGAAAGATATACAGCTGTGTGAAAAAAATCCTGCACGCCTTACAGTTTACGGTTTATGACACTTTTTGGATAGGCCATTGATTTTATGATATTTTATGGTAACTGCTATGCAAATATTGTTATATTTAAATAAATACTGGTGGTTTTTAAGTCAAAAGCGTAAGCTTTTTGCAATTTGGTGCTGTTTGGATAGGGATTGTGAATTTTCTTGCATGCTTACAATGCATGCTTACAATGACTATGAAAACATATTAACTGATGCATATCCAGTGGCCTACGTGTTGCAATTACTAAGGCCGATGCTAGTGTTTTGTTAACATTTTTATTGTTTGTGGCCCTGAAAAGGACCGTTTAGATAACCAAACATGGTTACTAATATGAAATTGGCCAGCCCTTATTGCTTATCACCAGGTGGCGATAATTCGATCATTCTTTATTTGGGATCGCAGGATACCATCTCCAGCTCCGTTCTCAGGGGGGAGAAAGAGAGAGACTTTTGGCTTCCTGCAAGGAAAGCAGCAGAAACAGCAGAAGTCTTTCTTTCTCTCCCCCAAACTCTGCCAGCAATGAGTCTTTGTGAGATTTGCCATGCTGGTGCAGCCTGTTGGGGCAGGTTGCCTTGCAGGGTCCCAAAGACTCATTTCTGATGGAGTTTGGGAAAGAGAAAGAAAGACTTTTGGTGCTTTCCTTGTGTGCAGCCAAAAGCAGAAGAAGAAAGAAGAGGAAAAAAGCAGCCGGGTAGCCAGGTGAGGTGCGTGAGGCTAGTGGGCAAGTTCCCCCCTCCGCCCTTTCCCCCTCCCCTCACTACCTTGTGTTGTTCATAATGCAAGCAACGCAAGCCTTGTGTTCCCATGGGCCATGTGGGCAGTGCAGCCTTGTGTTCCTGCTCAGCCTGGATTAATTGCTTTGGGGGGTGCTTGCGGGTGATATTTCTCTGTGGACCACCAATTTTTTTTAGTGGACCACCAGTGGTCCCTGGCCCACTGGTTGGCGACCATTGGTCTAGACTCTAGAGTATATCCCAGTTCTCACCAGAATAATTTTTTTGGCTACACAGGAGGTTGATAAGGGAAGGATGAGACAAGTATGTTCATTCCATGAGCAGAATGAAAATTAGGGCCTAATCCAGAATATGTGAATAATAAATATACATTGATCAATAGTTTTGAATTGTTTTCTTGAGTCCTGGCAATATTTATACCATACCAAAACATTGCAGTGGGAATAATTTTTTTTTATTCTTGATTTCTTAAGGCGCTCAGACTTATGGGCCGAATCATGCGTGAGTGCTGGTTCACCAATGGGGCAGCTCGACTGACAGCGCTTCGCATTAAGAAGACAATTTCTCAACACTGTGGACAAAATTCCAAAGCTTAAATTTACACGCCTTGTAAAAATGGAACAGGAAAATGCATCTATGTCTTTGTTGTTTTGTATTGTCTTTGATTTAGCTCTACCTCACATGATACTCAAAATAGTACCGCAAAGCCCAAATCCCAGAATACCTGAATGTAGCTTCAGAATTAACTTTTGGTTGCTGAGTGATGTGTGTCTTGTTTTGGCTCATAAAGGAAAAATGATTTATTTATTTTATGGGCATAATAATTCATAAAGTGAATAATTCATCACAGTGTTGACATGATACTTTCTGCCATGGCAGAAGAAGCTCCTGAGTCACAGAGAATATATGAGAAGTGAACATCAGTGAAAGTTTATCCCCATGGCAGAGCCCTGTTCTTGTTTGTGTTGGTGGTATACATGAATTTGATAAACTAAACCAAAAGTGGGCAACTTGTGAGTTAATTTTATCACACCTTCTGTCTAACTTCACTCTTATACAAAAACTGCTTCCTTTTTGGTAAAAACTGTCTCTTCATCCCCCTGGTTTTTAAAAAAGGAGAAAGGTTTAAAATAGATTTCTTGATCTATTTGTGGTGGAGCCCACTGCATTCTGGAAAGTTATCTCTGAAAGGGTGCAGCTTATAAACACAAGATTATCTACTCTTCAAAGTAAACTCTGAGGATATTAAATGCATTGAATCTTTGTTAAAATATATTGGCTGCTGGCTTATTTAAAACGTTTTACAAGTGAGCTTTTCAGGTCACTTCAAGAATTGAGAAGTGAGACATAAGAACTCTTGAGATGTTGAGCCTAGAAGATATGGTTGACTGTAGACTTTCATCAGAAGGTTTTCACAGGCTGTATCTTCATGTGAATTAGATTCACTTGGTGTTTTTTTTTTACTTTTTATTTTCAGCCAGCAACGGTCCCTGCCTTATTTTGTAGCAACCTTTTCCATCTTTTGTTCAGGAAGCCCCTAGAGAAAAATGATCCTCCTCCCCACTAGGGGCATTAAAAATCCTCCCTTTCTAATACCTTAAAGAAAACATAGTAATTTATAACCAAAGGGGGAAAAATGCAAGCACGCACCCTTGACATTACCAATATAAAGAATCAAAAGGAGATGCTGCCAGTCAGAGCTGATATGATTGGGTTGAGTGAGCCAAAGTTTTGGCTTTTCTGCATTCCTAAGGAAGTAAGCAAGTGAGAAAATGAGACCAAATTATCGAGGCATTTTTCACAGAACTTTGTAGAATTAGTGGTGCAATATGTATGTGCGTGCGTGCGTGCGTGCAGGCACACATATGTATATATGTGTAATGTGTATTTGTGTATATATATATATGCACACATGCACATAGATTCTTATTAATCAAATAAGAGTAATTAAATAGAACATGCTTACTGTGAAAGTTGTTCTTATAGTATTAGTCACATTATAGATGATCATTTATTTAAAGCTTTAACCACCACATTATACTGTAGTTAAATGTTGGAAATTCTATATGTTACATGTCTTTTATCTTCAAATTTCGGTCTATGAACTAAATGTTCTAAATCTAAAGCAGTGTAAAGCGACAGAATAAATCTGGAATGTCTGTTTTGTGGTGCCAAAATTTAGAACAAAAACATAAGGTCCTAGTTAAAATACATGAAAGGCTTACCTGACTTTTCACAAAGTGTGAGAGTGTTTGGCTAAAAAGAAATACTATTTTACACAACTCTGTATTGATCCATAATTTTGGTGGAAAAAAATCACTAAAAAACCTGAAGTCTAAAAGAATGTCAAATAATTGCATGTATCAGTATTAAACTTCTGTAACTTTGAAAAAAAAATGGATGCATATATATTTTAATATGTCATTCAGTTGTGAAAATGCAGCTTTGATATTTATTCTACAACCAGAGCTGGATAGATATGCCTTTTTAAAAAAAGCTAATTGTGTTAAGATCTTCTCATGCTTCAATGTTTCCCATGTGACCAAAGCCGACCATGTAGGAATATAACATGGGAACCATAATTCTCATACGTACCCGTGGTTCACATGAATCTAATGTGGCACAGGATTGGCAAATTTAAGGCAGCTCTTGGATGGTTATGGTTTGCAAGTGAATGGCCTCAATTATTCCACTTCATAAACTATTTGAATAGAGCAAATAAGACCAAATTGTTGCTGGTATTTCTGGTTGTAACTATCTCTGTGCATGAGAGAGAAGGTGAACTGTTCCCAGTCAGACACCTATGATATATTCAGCCCAAATATTGAGTCACCAAATTTCTAGGGGAAAAAGCTGTAGCTTAAAAGGTATAGCATATACTTTGTATGGAAGAAGCCCCAGATTCTAAGGTGGGGCTAGAAAGAATTTTGTTTATCAGGGAACAAAACATTACTTTGAGGTGAAAAATGGTATCACTTATTTTATTATTTCTCTGTCTTTTATGACAGGAATCAAACCAGCCGTCTCAGGGATGTTCATATTAATTTTGGAGTCTTAAAATGCAAATAAGTATGTTGACTTCTATCTTTATTTTTTTCCCTAAAATCTATCCATCCCTAAGCCAAAATTTCAACAGTATAGTCAACCATGAAAATAGGATTTTCATTGAAGCTGACTCTTGTGATGTAAATGTAACCTGTGCCAATACAACGGAAATTTATAAATTGTTTATTGTTATCTTCACCAGCATGGCAATCATTCTTTCAGCTTAAACTAGCTTTTAGCATAATCCTAGCCAATTTGGGCTGAATTCCATAGCTAAACAAGAGCAGCCCTGGTTAGCATTTGAACTGGAGCCAATCCCAGGGTGTACAAAATCAGAATACATCCCTCCCAAGGGAAAGCAGTGACAAACTAATACTGTAACAATCCTAAGAAAACAGTATGGATATAGTCACTAGCCACTCGATTCAAGGACCTTTAATTAATTAAGTTAGCCATTAATGATATTTATGCTGATATTAAAACGATTGAATATATCTAAGAAATGTGTGCCACATATTCATGCACAGTGATTGATGATGTTCCTTGTGTTTTAATTTGAATAGTCATCTAAACACCCTGTGATTGCTTACCTCTAAATGGTCCATTTATGTACACAAGAATCATTTGATGCTACATTTCAAAAGTAATAAACAAGCAAAACTGTGAACTGATCCTGAGTCACCAATGATGACTTCTGAGATGTAGAAGTAGTATTCCTAGATTTTCTGTAATGTCACCCTTCTATTTGTCATTTGGCCATTATGCTTACATTTTAAAACTAGAATAACATTCTGTTGCTGAAATTGATATTGTTATGTGAAAATAGCAAGAGTGAGAAATGACTTGCATGTGACAATCGTTGCTCAAATTCTTTGTTCTTTAGGGACTGCTGATAAAGGCTGAAATCTATAAAGTGTGCAGTTCTCACATATAATTACCATAGTTGCTTTACAGTTAACAGAATGCTGCCGCAAACAGGAAGTTCGTGTTTTAAAATATTTTGTTATGGATAAGCTTGTGCTTTTCTTACTTGTATGAAGTAATCCAAAAGAATCGAGCACTTCCCATTCCTTACAGGCACCACAATTTTATGGCTTAGGCAGAAAATAAGTATTAAATGCATAAAATAGTACTCAGAAATGTGATGAAAGTGCAATACATTAAATCTGAAGAAAATATGTGTAAATTTATATAGGAAGAAATAAGTTCAATGACGGTTGATGATGGAGTAGAACTCCATTCTAGAAGGGGAAGATGTAAATTTTTAATTGCAAATGCCTATAAAGAGTATGTGTTAAGAAGAGATTGCTCTTAAAACTTTGTTTAAGTAAAATTATGGAACTGAATAATAAAATAAGCTTTAATACTATAATTTGCTTTAACCTAGTGTATACTATCACAAGAAATATTTATTTTTCAAACAAATAGCTTTTACTATTGCTGCTACTGCCTCTAGATGTAAATAATATGTCTGTTGTATTTTTGTATACTATTTTTGCCTCTCAAAGCATATTTTTAAAGTGTCAATTTTACAATTTTAATTTTTCTTTGCTGTTTTTGTGAAGCACAATTTCTTATAAACAATAAAAAATGAAAGTCTGAGAAATGTATCTGGTTTGTTGCTGACACATCCAAATACAAATAATTAAAACATAAGGAGTCATTCCAGCCAAGAATTCAGACATTTTTCCCCAATAAAACAAAAGTCATATTTTTATCACTTTTTAATTAATAAACACAAACACAAAAATAATGACATACCCATTTATATTTCCAATGCTACAAGATCTGTCTTTTAATTATAGTAAGGACACAAAGAATCTATTTTAAGTTGTCAAGTTGTCAAATTCCACATACTAGTTCAAAAGAACATTATCCTATGAATATCTTAGCTTTTGTTGCACAATCATATTTATATAATCCATTACTTTCTCCCAAAAATTGCTAAGTATAGCACATTGTAAAAACTTTTTAAAGAAGCATTGTCCTTGTTACATTTCCAACAAAATGCTGGTTTTGACAGTCCTTTTCTATACAAATAAAGAAATCCAGTGAATTCTAAATAGTTTTTGTTGTCTAAGTCGTAATTTGAAGTACTTTGACGGGTTTGCTAAAGAAGTTAAGATATTGTCTAGGCAATATAGGAACCTCTAATTCTTTATTTCACTCATTTCTTAACATCTGCATATCAAATAGTTTTACTGATAACAAATATCTAAAAACTATGACTAGGTTTTTAATTTTTAATTTTAAAGGATTCACAAGTTGTTTTAACACCTCAGGGTTCAGAAACTGAAAATGCTGTGGGTTCAGTGCTCTTAACAAATGTCACAACTGTTAATATTACCACTGAGTTCCCTCTTATAGATGATATCTAACTCTTAATGCAGAGTATGTTGAAAATTGAATGCCATCACCTAACAGTTGGTCCAAAGTCAATATACCTGCTTCCACTCAGTTTTTCCATATCACCATTTTTGAGTCTGACTTTTGAAACTGACTTTATGGGAAAACTCAACCTTAAAAACTGGGAGAAAGCAAAATATTTATTTGTTTATCTGTTCTTGGGGTTTTGTCTCGAAGTAAAACCAGTGATGATAGGAGCACTCTGGGCTGTGACTCCTGGGTTCCTAAGCCAGGAACAACATCAGAGTTCTCTGTCCAGAAGAGGACAGTGATCGGAGCGAAGAAGATATACACCACCCATAGGGGTGAGAAGAGTTTTTGGGGTGTGTGCACCCATATAGAGAAACTCCCACAAAATACTCTCAAACCAAGCCAAAGACCACTGTGTATAATGTCCTTCTATGAATCTAAGATACACACAAAATTGCATGGTCCTTTCAGATGTTCATCTGTTGGGATAAGCCTGATTTGATCTTGCATACTGTATGGCTGCTTTCTATGAATTATATGAATGAATTACCTGGTGGTGGGGAGGAAAGAAAAACCTTTCCTTGTCCCCTGAATCCAAGAATGGAATATTATGTTTCACTAAAAGAATATGGGGATGTAGACCAACTCTTAAAACAATAAAATAGCTGTTAAAATTTTTAAAATATAAATAAAAACAAGACTGCAGAAGAAAGAGCATCCATCATCAAAAACCTTTGCCTTGGCAGATAAGCAGGTTGAACTCTTTATATAATGGAACATTTTTAAAAAGAATGACAAGCACTTGTTGGGAGCCAATTGTTAATAAGAGTGAAAATTGTGTAACCTTGAGAATAAGAACAGGAAGCTGGGCGTGGGGTGGGAGTGAATGAAATAGCAGAAGTGCTGCGTTTCCCATGAAATCCCAAGCACCATTTCCAAAAGGTTTTGCAAGTATGCACAGCCGTTATGATCCTGAAAAACCCAATAGCATATTATTCAAATAAAGCATTAGTAACATCCCCCTCAATAAGCTATTAATTCCATTCCATTAATTACAAATAATTCAAAAATGTATATAGGAAGTGCATGCTAAGTGCCACAATACTTGGAATAAGTTGCATCTTTTACCCAGTAGATTATGAAGCTTTCTCCTTCAATATAAAGTTTCCCCTTCAAAGTAAGATTTTAAAGGATAATACCCTTGCATTGGTCCAGAAAGCTTTGTAGAATATATATATATATATTTATAATATATATATATATCATTTTTTTAAAGTGTCTGCCACCAAACTCTAATGTGGTTCACAGGGCTCAATAAATTATGGTTTGTTTACTGTTTGCTGACTGGATTTATGGGATATGCAAAACCATAAGCTCAGCTTTTAAACAACAAAAAAAAGAGTCCAGATAACATGTTAACAAACCATATTTTGTGGTTTGTTGATCGAAGTGTTTCTGGTTTTGCTAGAACAGACTGACATGGATATTTTTCTGGAAAAAAATGTACATTGATCTGAATTCTGTGGTAGCAACATGGAAATCCTTCTGCTGAAGAGCCATCCAAAGGCTGCTGCTTTGGGGGATAAGAAAGGCAGAAGAATTGGATGATGTTCTTCCACTTTGAGCAGAACCCTCTGCCCCTGTTGACTTTTCAAAGAGTGGAGACTTCACGGTATTCTTCTTTGAAAATGTTCAGACTACCTTAGACTCTGGCTAAATATTGCTTGATCAAATCACAATACACTAAAGAAGAAACTGGCCTTCCAAGGCCACATATTGAGTGGAACCAATGCTGCCTTTAGTCTGAAATGGTTTCTTCTATGTCCAGGGATTGCCTTTTTAATTGGCCAGGCCAGGTATATGATCACAACCAGACTGGCCTCCTGCATGTACAAGCAGAGTTGTAGCCCCTTCCTCAAACGAAAGTGTGATAGATTTTTCACATCATATTCTTGTTCGAATGACTGACAGCTAAGCTAATGGAAGACACTTACGGTCCATGAAGGCTCTGATTAATGGATCATAAGCTTTATGAAACAAGATATGATATTCCTCCATGGATAAGCAAATCTAGATGAATTGGCTGAAGGAATAGCCTTTTCCCCGCAATCTTCTTTGGATTATTATTATTATTTTTATTTGTCAATTGCTTACAAGATAATAGGTATAAGTAAAAACATAGTTACGAATACATGGATACTATAAGAAAAATAAAAAAATATATAAAAGAAACAATAGGACAGGGACGGTAGGCATGTTGGTGCGCTTATCATACTCCCCCCCCCCATCACTAATCACTCACGCTACTGTTGATCCATTCCTGCTCTTTTTCTTCATGGCCTCCTCCTCCCTCCCCCTCCAAGAGCTTATCCTGCATTGAACTTGCACTGCCTTGTCACTCTGGCGCTGCGTCAGGATGGTTCCAGATGTACGTCAGCTTACTGTTGCTTATCTGCAGACTTTCACGAGAAAAGAGCCCAAGTATTGAGAAACGGTTGCAGGCGTTGAGTCACAAGTTTTGTTTTTCAAAGACCAAGTTGAAGTAACCCCCATGGCACCAAGCTGATGCAAGATGTTGCTTTGAATAGAAATTGATTCCGTGGTAAGTTTTTAGACAAGAGGGAAGACTTCTCCTGATTGAGACATTTGGTTAAAAGTCATTTTCTAAAGCATTTGTTTGCTTCTCAGAAGGAAGAAGACATTCCATAGCCTGTCCCTAAACAATAATATAATATATTGATATTACATGTTATACTTAAGGGGTGAAAAGTAGTCACTCTGGTGTTAACACAGTGTATGTCTAAACATGCTAGCTATTTTGCTGTTCAGTTGTTTGGAATGGTTGGTGCGGGGGGTGGGGGGCTTGTGAATTCTGGGTTTTATTCATTAGCCTCTGTGTGTATCTTGACTGAGACCACCACAGCAATCCCTTGTTCCTGCAGGTTAGTTTGTGAGCAACAAAAAAATTCTCCCGCAGTACTGTCAAACTTCCGTTTCCTTTCTTTTATTTTTTTAAAAAGACACCTTTAAGTTGCAGTGTAACGACTTTACTATTTTGTTTCTGTGAAGCTGCAAGATCAATTAGTCCCAGCCTCAAAGTTTCCACAGAGATAACAGATGAAAGTAGGATTGAAAGACCTGTT